GCAAGCTGCTGCTGAACGGCCCGAAGAAACTCCCCTATGGAATCACCCTTCCTCACCTGGAATGGAAGTAGTAGAATTGAATTCAAAAGCGAAATTCAAAAGATTGGACAGCTTTATAGGCTCTTCATTTCTAGTATTTAGGGACCTGAATCACTCGTCTGTGGCCTGTTCCGTCCCAATAGCTGTAAGTGATTTGTAGAGGCTCGTCTAGGCATATAGCAAGAGAAACAGTCAGAAGCTAGATTTCTTCAAACACTTTGGAATTCTAGGAGCCACCTCCAAAGAAGGGGTAAGGGGAGACTGAAAACTGTTTTAAGTAAGCATAATATACTTTAACATACTTACTTTTGATTAGCTCCTGCTCGCGCACCCACTGTTTCCGAAGCCTTTCACGTTCAGCTTGTTCCTCTGCCTCCCTCTCACTGAAAAAATGCACTTTGAATTCCAAATTAAATTAATGAGTAAAAAGGCCAAAAGAGGACACAATAAAAGTAAGTACAAGAGGCTTCTTTTGGGGGGAGGCAGATTGTAGTAATGCCCAACCTGTCCGGTAAGAAGCTGGTCTCTACTGTAGGATCTTTGCCAAATTTTCTCCACACACGCTTGTCAGATTCTTCATTCTCTATATTGCAGATGAGAAGAGAAAAAACATAAGTATAGTACCATAACATCACAATCTGAACGCAATTTATATACTCAACTATGTCATAAAGATTGGCCAATACAATTGATTAGACATGCCCATGTTCTGGATAACTCTCTGCACATATGCGTGTAAACATACTCATGCATATCTGATGACACTTGATAGTGCCATAGTGGCACCTGACAAACGTAGGAGGCAATAACTTGATGGGGAAGAACGGAAAGTTAGACCCAGGAAGAGATGATAAATGCCGCATGATTTTCATTAAACAGGACATGGCCTGTAGGATATCTTTTCTTTCTATGAATGTGGTGTACGAGCCAGCTTGCGCACATCTCGACTATATCACCAAGTAAGATATCTATTTCCAGAAACGCATGCATCCTAAAGACCGTTTCCCTCTTAATCTTAAAGTGTGCCAAACTGCAGGCTTATGTGATTGAACTGACCAAACTGAGAGTTTTCTCAATACAATGAAGAATTCATGTAATGTGCATGTCAGAGTTCCAAAAAGAAGATGTAACAGATGCCATGCACCATCTAACCAACAGAAATATCCACCAAGTCGCTCGTCTCGACGAAAACAAAAAGAATTCAAAGCATACAACAACAATCNATGAATATTGTGTAGTAAACACAAGGCAAAAATGCATTAAAAGTAAAAACTGCAAAGACTGCTAACTGATCTGCTTGTTGGAGAACTTAGATTAAAGTGGAGCATCAAGATTCAAGAAAGTAACCCAGTCTTCACATCAGAATGAAGATTTCATACCTAAATGTCATATTCATGGTTTCCATTCACTTCAAAAAGAAAAAGAAAAATGCCTTTGCTAACCAATAGGATCTCTTGTCAAGTTCTCCTCCTATTTTAACACAAAATGACCCTGGATATAAACTTACTTTTAAGACATGCATACAGTATCAGAAATTAAGGAATCTTAAGAGATTGCTACTTGTTTGGAGCAGGCCTTCGTGAAACCTAGCTTAAACAATTTACTCCAATTAGTTTCTCTTTTCTTTTCTTACCTTTTTTTTTCTTTTCTTTTTTAATGACGGTGTCCGGGCTATCCTGAGCACACAAATTTCTTTTTTATTATTCCTATTCAATAAGACAAATTTCATTACTAAACACCTCGTCAGTTTCAACAGTATGCACTAGCTTGTTTTCTTCTTTTTCAGCTGTACAATAAATATGTTTAAGTTTATAGCAACCATGAACCTTCTTTGACATTATTGTTTAGTTTGTGGAATTAAAATTTTATAAAGAGAACACCTGAAACATGTCTGTATTTATCTCACTCTTTCCGAAGAGAGGCAAAATTAGGATTGAAAGAAATATTGTCAGTTGCTAATGAATTCTTCAAATTTCAAGAACAGATAAGAAATTTGTTTCTTACTATTTTCCTCATCTTCATCTTCGTTGCCATTATCCAAATCATCGCAAAAAGATAGTCGTGGGTCAGCCTTTATCTTCCTCTTTTTAAGCTTTTGTAACTGAAGCTCTTCCTCCCTGTGACAGAAGAATCAGTCCGCAAATTAAACATACATCACAACTGAACTCATACATATTGCACTCTTTCAGCTTTGCAAGAATGACACGAAGTAGGAAATACACTCACTCTTGTTGCAATTTCTGAAGCTTCTCCTTTTCTTCCTCTTCAAGCTTGGTTTTAATAGTGACCCTCTACACATGATTCAAAATACAAGAGCAGTTCATTTCATCAAGAGATGAAATTGCAAATGAAAGAATCTTATACGCAAAGCGATCAACTCACCTTCTCAACATATTGCTCCCTTGTAACAAGACCCACAGTTTCCTTTTTAAAAGCAGTTTCGAGAATCTGAAGAAAAAAAAACATATTTCGGTATAAGCAACAATGTCTTGAAAACACATCCACGTATCTATTCTGTGAGTCAACAACTGAGTAAAAAAACATAATTACAACTCCTCCTTACAACAACAGAAGGAACATGTGTAATTAGCTACAATTAAGGGTGTTAAACGGGTCGGGTCATCCCGGTTCCGGACCGGTAGAAGGGGTCTGGGTTAAGGGTGTAGTGCGGTTTGCACCGTTTACCTTCGAACTACCGGTTACCCGGACCGGTCAAACCCGGTCAATGAACAGTGTTCTTCAACCGGTTAACCGGCCCGGGCCGGCCCATACCGGTTTTAAAAAGTAAATTTTTTTTTTTAAAAACTGGGCCCAGATATCTGACCGTTGGCAACGGTCCATTTCAGAATATGGTCGTTGCCCAACGGCTGAATTGCACAAATAGCCNACAATCAACTATTTGGCTATTTTTTTTTTAATTTAATTTATCGTAGTATTTATTATTTGAAGTTTGAACAATTGAACTTCAAAATTGGAACAATTAACGTTTCTTCGTGGTAACATTGGAGTTGCGAAATAATCAAGTGCTCAATTTATTGCCGAATTCGGTGCACTCCCTCTAACTCTTTCTCTTATTTACTATTTTATTTGCATATTTATTTGTTGCTAGTAGTTAAATTTTTACAATACGTTTAATGCTGCAAAAAGAGTTTGTAACAAGGTTACTAATCATGGAAATAAAAAAAAGAGGTAGTACTTCAGCTTCAGCATCTGGTAGTAATTTAAATACCTCTCCAAATATTCCTGAAACATTACCTGATATAATATAGATTATGAACAATTCCAGGAAGATTTTGGTATAGAAGATAATGAATTAGAAATGGAAGATGAGATACCACTTACACCTAGTAGTGTTGGAGCTGTTTTAAATCCTTCTATTAAGATGTCTAATTGCCACCAATTAATGAATGCTTTATATACTTATATGGAGACTGGACCAACTGAAACCCCAGATTTATATACTTGTATGAACAAGCTAAATGAATATTTACAACAATTATATAATTATTATGCAAATGTAATTGATGATGATGCTCTTAGTGTAGCCAATGTTAATCCCACTATGCACTGTACCACTTCTGCTACTTCTGCTACTGTGGATGATGAAGAAGGCCTTGATAGTTTAATATTTTTTCTACATTTTCTAACACCCAAACCAGTAGCAGGAACATTGATGAACTTCAATTCTACTTACAGAAGCAAAAAGAACCTCGTACAAAGGAATTTTCACCGTTGGGATGGTGGCATGAGAATGGAAAGCAATTTCCTGTTCTTTTCGNAATTTTTACCCGGATGAACCCGAACTCATTAAACCCGGTAGGCCCCAACCCGTAACCTGCCCGGACCATAACCCGTACGGGTACTAAAATTCCCTACCTAGCCCGGCCCGGCCCACCCGTTAAACACCCATAGCTACAATCAAAGGCTGAAATAAGCTCAGGTGTGACAAAATTCCCATAAATCTTCTAAGTTACATTTCAATAATAGCAATTAATCAACTAGTTGATGACGACTATATGAGTCATTTGTATCCATTTAGCTCTGTTGGGGCAATTTCTTACCAAATTAGTTCTCCGCTATATTTCGTCATTTTGTATACAGAACAATGTACGTTTGTATATCAGTTAAAATAAATAAATAAATAAATAAAGGAACGAGCTTTATAAGCAAGTGTAATTGAAACCTCGGATGTACTGGACCCGAATTGAAGAAGCCCAGGTTGGCCTTTAGATGAAGCAGTCTTATTCTTTAGCTCCTGAATTTTTCGCCTCTCTGCTTCTCTCTGCTTTTCAAGCCGTCGGATTCTAACGGCGTCTTGGGCCGTACCCACGTACCCATCTCCCATGCCCGACATGTTTCCTTAAATTCTTCTTCTAGGGCACAAAGTTTTGAACTTGAAACAATAGATTGATGATTTTTGGGCAACCTCTGCGTATGCAAATATTAATACGTTGTGAACGGGAAGCTGGGGCGTGAATCGGTTCACAGCCGGGTAAACCCACGGCAACCAAAACTTGAAGTATCAAAACCTAAGTATTGGTTAATTACAAAGATGTACCTGAAGGTTCTTCTCAATGACGGCTACTTCACCCATAGTTTCAAATGTTGCGCAAATCACTCTCATTTTATAAGTTTAGTAAAAACAAACTCCTTTACTTTTTTTCTTTTTTCCCTACATAAATTCACCAACTTTCCATTTAATTTGGTGATAAGGCATTGATACGATTTAAAATGTAAGGGGTTGGAATTATTGGTGGAACTTGTACGATGGGCTTGCAAGGTTGTGTTATGAAGTTAGTGAAAGGAGTTGGCGGAGTAACCAACAAGTCTTACTATTTATATTTGAATCCATTTAGCTAATTTATTTTATTATTTTATTATCCTGGTAAGTTTCTCTTATTCCTTTTTAGTCCTTAGGTCTTTACTCACATTCCTTTTTAGTTCAGCTCATTTCCCAGGCATGAATGAAATATGTTATTTTCTTTTCCTTGGCTTAGCTTAATTCTTAGCTTTAGGTTCTTCTTAAATTCTCAAATCGTAAAAGTGGTAGAGCATCGATTCTCTGACCTCTATGGCAATAGAGGTGAATCGATTTCTCCCACCGTACGGCTGTTATAATGACCCACGAGCTAGGCATCCATGGCTGAATGCTATAGTGAATGCTCCAGCTAGTGCACCAAGTTCCACACTTGGAAATCTTCCACAGGATATCAACTATGCACCCTACCAAGGTCCTAGTTCTTCTGGTTATTGTACTAGAGGGTATGGAGCTTAATACATGGGGGTATCAACAGCAATTCAAATCAACAAACCCTCTATACACCTCTAATTTCAATCCACATCAACCTTGGCAAGCTGGGAGTTCCTCATCGGTCCCTTATGCCTACCAGCCATCAGAGTTCACCACGGCCTTTTTCGATTTTTCGATTACCGGAGTGGTTCCAAATGGAGGCACCGCAATGGGTTTCCAATATAATAGCACGGGTTTCCTCCCTAGCATGGAAATGGTGAGGACTGATCACAACTCGGAGTATAATCCTCCACATTTGTTATTTCAGCAGCAGCAACAGCAGGCTTTTGTTAATAGGGTCATCAACGATTCTGTTCTAGTCAATTTTCTGACTGACGAGGCAATTCCATCTGCTGCTGATAATTCCAACCACAGATCTGAATATTCCATTACCCTTTTGCCGTTTCAGCAGCAACACTTTTGTTTTGATGCCATCGTCGAGAGCTCTCTTCCATCCGATTTTTTTATGGATGGGGGGATTTTGATGGGTTGCAACAGTAGCACTTCCATTCATGCAGATGAAAGACTAAGCAATTTAATCGATGTTACTATCCCAGAAGCTACGCCGAGGAAAGAGATGTTGGAAAAATTTGAGCCAGCGAAAGAGGAACAACATCCGCTCATGAGCAACAGATGTTTGATGAAATGCCAATAGATAAGGTAATGATGCCTTTAGACAAATCAATACCTATATCTGAAGATCGACAGGAAAATAAAGCATTGGGTATTGGGGAAGAAACTTCTAATGAAGATACTGAGATGGGAACTGAACAATATGAGCTAATTGATGCAGAAAATGAGTGCATTACTAATGAGCTCAAATCAATCCCGGCAATGTATGGTAAAATGAGTGTCCCCGAATACTAGCACAATATGTCTGAAAGCAGAGGCAGATGTAGTGTATTACCAACGGGTTCAGCTGAACCCATAACTTTCGACGCGGAGTAAAAATTTGTAAGTAAAAATTCATTAAAATTGCAAAAATAGTAGATTTGAACCCATAACTTTCGACGCGGAGTAAAAATTTGTAAGTAAAAATTCATTAAAATTGCAAAAATAGTAGATTTGAACCCATAACTTTCGACGCGGAGTAAAAATTTGTAAGTAAAAATTCATTAAAATTGCAAAAATAGTAGATTTGAACCCATAACTTTGAAAATATAATGGGTTCAATGCTAAAAACTTTAAAATTGAACCCAGAAAATTTAAATCCTGGATCCGTCTATGTCTGAAAGTAAGTTTTATGTGGATGGCAACACCTATTTCACTGTTCAGGAGGTCGGGAAGAAGTACATTGATGAGAGTAGCATTCCCTTGATCGATGATAAGCCTGAGGAATTTGCCGTTGTGGTGAACAACAATGATAGCAGCCACATTATTCAGGTTCATCTAGTTGCCACTATCGCGAGTGCTGAAAAGAACCACTATGCCATGAAGGATTCTGTGACAAACTCGAAGAAGTATATGTCTGAGAATAATCTGACAAGCGAAGTGGACTTAAAGGGCATAGATAAGAAGATTGACAAGTTGGTTTAAGAGGTTGTTGAGTTTGCAGATGCAAGCCCTGTTCCGGATCATAGCCAGCTGCTAGAGCATGTATTTGTTGTTCCTAGGAGCTTTAGAATTGGGCCTGATCGAAGGCATGTGGATGCTCCGTATTCTCTTATGGTGAATGGTGTAATAAGCAAAACTGGAGCAACTTCCAAGTCTGTCAAGGAAAATTCTTCTGCTGAGTTCGTAGGGAAACATTGGTTCCTTCTACCTAGCACCATGACAACTTTTGCACTTAGTAAGATGTTGACAAAAGAAACTCACATATGCAAAGAAGAGAAACATATTGCTTACAGATTGATCTATGAGTTATTAGCTGATACTTCGACTTCTCGAGTAAAGAAAAAACGGAAGAGAAGTGGAGATGAGACAAATTTAGAAGCAGTAGCTTCTGTCATGGAGCAGCTTGATGAATTTGATAAAAGACATATTAAGCTTGATTATATGACCTCAAAAAGGGCCTGTGAACAGCTCCAAAACAGAGGTGTTATTGGATGCTACCAAGTAGATAGCTACAACAGAGAGGAAACTGTTGGTTGTAGTATTGTGTGGCACAATGGAGAATTGTGGGGAGGCACTTTGAACACTCAGTGTCTTGAAGTCTTTGTTTCCATAGAGATCAGAAAGAACCTTACTCTTGCAGGACCTGAGATACATAAAGAGTTATTGGCAAAGGAACTTGCTTAATGCCCTGGAGCTAAGCTATTTTTCCTTGATAGCCATTTCCTTCTAGGTGGTCTATTGGTGAAGGAGGTTGAATTGCTGAAAAAGAGGTTTCCGAGGTCACTCGAGCATGACATGGTCTTAGCACTGACACTTGTACTTTTTGCTCATGCTAGTGTTGGAAAGAAACCTCATATCATCCAGGAAGTTTATAACCAATTTGAGCAACTTCACCAGAGAAAATTAACATCTCTTGATATTTTTGTGTTGGTGTGCACTGCTGGAGAAAATTGTGAAATAGATGTTCCATTGAAAAATGGGATGTGGCAACTTTTGGGTGGAGAAGCTGGTGATTGTCACTCATGGTTGGGTCTAGACTGTGAGGATCTTCTTCATAAAAGTCTGTCTCGTATGACTTTTGTTGTAGTACACTCTGAGAATTATAACGAGATTGATCTGCTATTTAGACATTGTAAGCTTTTGCACACCTGGTTATTAAAAGGGATCTTCTCCAAATTTAGGAAGACACTGCACATCAGTGTCACACTTAGAAACTATTACAAGGACATTACCAGTTTGATAGCTTTAGCAAGGATGAGAGGTGGACATATTTAACCTTTAGTTGTTGTTGCAGCTAGTGCAAGGACTGAAGCTGAAACCACAAATATGGTTGATAATGCTAAGACAAATGTAGTTCATGCATTGCAAATTGCAAGAGATCTAGCTTGGAAGTGGCAGAATATGAATTCCTTTTCTTTTGGACTTGATCACTATCATAAGAACCAGCTTTCACTTGCTTTCATTAAAGCTGAAGTTTTAGGCATTTTTAGTAAATTGTTCTGTGACATGGATGCTGAAGTTATACGGGAAGATGCTGGTAGTAAAATGTTGAAGTTATTTCCTTTGTTGTCGAAGCTGGCATGCCGATATTATGGGAAACCTTGTACCCTATTTACTGTTGCAGTTTTGAAGGGAAGTGTGCTGGTGCTAATTCATAGTAATGTTATGGAATATTTATATTTTAAAGTGGTTGATAGCAGTTTTGAGTATGACAGAGGAAGGGTCTCTATTAGTGTTACTTCACAAGGCGAAATAGAAATTTGCAAGAAAGTTATGTGTGATCCTTCCCATTTGCTTAACAAGATTATCCTACCTCGGAAGAAATTGAATTGCATATCAGATGTGTATTTGTTCTGTTGTACTTACACTCCCAATGTTGCCCAAAGGAAAATTAAGTGGAAGTGCTGAATATGATACTATTACTTCACACAGGGGATTTCAGGATGTACTTGGAGTCTTGCAGTCAGAGTCTCATTCTCGGGACAAATCCAACATGTTCTTTGTTTTAGTGAAGGAGCAAAGGCGTTGTTTTGCAAGGAATTCTTCCCTCTTTCAACAAGTTCACTTGCAAAAGTGTGATCATTGATGGTGATAATTTTGAATCATGGATTCGACTTCCTAATGATAGCATTTGCACTGTTGGAGCAGTAAAGCTTATGAACATTGATCCAAAGAAACTGATAGAGTATGGGGGCTATATTCGAGACTTAAACAAGCTATTCTTTTCATTGTTGAAACTACTGCAAAGCCAAGAGGAAAACAAGATAATCAAGCTAGTCCTTCTCAATTACAAAGATTGTTGGATGTTTCTTAAGGTGCGGAAGAAAAAGATCAAACTAACTGATTTGAGGACTTCAATAATGTATAATGCTTGCACGGGGTTGACAATCATTGATCTGGAAAGATACAAATGCTTCCAGAGTACATTTTTCCATCTCTCCTTCCTTGAGGACGCGAAAGTTCTTAATTGGGGAGAACTTATACGATTTAAAATGGAAGGGGTTGGAGTTATTGGTGGAGCTTGTACAATGGGCTTGCAAGGTTGTGTTATGAAGTTAGTGAGAGGAGTTGCCGGAGTAACAAACAAGTCTTACTATTTGCATTTGAGTCCATTTAGCTAATTTACTTTATTATTTTATTACTCCTTTAGCTAATTTACTTTATTATTTTATTACTCCTTGTAAGTTTCTCTGATTCCTTTTTAGTCCTTAGGTCTTTACTCACGTTTGAGGCTAAAAATTTGGGTACACCTTAGCTTAATTCTTAGCTTTAGTTTCTTCTTAAATTCTCAAATCGTAACAGGCATCGCAAGAGTTGATGTTGAGCGATAGCAAATTCTCGAGTTTTTGGTAGGCGTTTGGACATTGTTTGGATAAAGTTTAAAAATACGATGTTGAAGTTAAAGATGAGTATTTGGGAAGTTTCAATTGTATTTAGATATGAATTTTACTCAAAATTTGAAGGTTGGTTACTGAAAATTAATTTCGATTGAATTGCTCCTTAAAATAATTTTTTTTATATTTTATCAGAAATTTAATATTTGCAAAATGCTGATCGCCAAACTAATAATTTAAACTTCAATATTTTACAAATACTAAATTTTAGTGTGTGTATATATATATATACTAGCTTTAGGGTACGTGCGTTGCACGTGTTTATCGCGTCAATCAATTAAAATTTATATAAAAGAATAAGTTATGTAAAATTGTAATGGACATTAAAGTAGATGCAAACATTTGTTTATTAAGTTAATGCGATAGTTAGAGTTACAATAATTGGACCTACAACAATAAATGATTTGATTAAGTTTGTTATGATGCATTTACTAAAATGCCAAATATTTTAGCAAAGAATATTAAAAGTAAATATGCATGTATATTATTGTGGGAAAAAATACATGTAAATTACTAAAAAAATATTAATCATAGGAGTAAAATATTGTACGTACATTTAATGTTAGATAAAAAAACTGTAGTAACAATATTTTGGAGAGTAAAGTTTTATGTCAAATATGTGAAAGAAAATTTAACGATGTAGTTCTAAATATTAGGAGTTTCTATATAGTTAAAATAAGAAGAAAAAAAATTAATAATTAAAATTTTATTTGATTTTAAAATTTTAGATAATAGAATTAATTAAATTATAGCTTTGACTAATATGAAAGCTATTTTAAAGGATAAAAAATGCAAATAAAATTTTGCTAAGGAGCTTCTTGCTTTTGATATAGTATCAATAGATGGAAAGTACGTGTTGCATCTTATTGTACGTTCGCTAGGTGTTACCTCGTATTAATGAGAATGATTTTTTAAAAATAACATAAATATTATTCAAAAGATGTGTTCACGTTATAATATAAGAATTAACAAAAAAATTATAAGTTTTAAATGATAATTGTGTTAATCATGTTTAGGAATTTGATCTATTCTAGTAGTTTTTCCTTTAGTTTGTTCTAATACTTGATTTATTATATAAAAATATCAGAGGAATAATATTTGATTAAAAGGTGAAACTATATTTTGTGTCTACCCGCTTTGAAAGTTTTAAAACTATAATAATTAAGACCCTTGAACCTAAAATTGATGTTCGAAGCTAAAAGTATGATTTCAAGGCATATGGCCTACGTGCCTTGGAACTTGGAAGTCCTAATTTGAATTTGTAATATATGGATTTTAAGCTTCTAAATTTAAAAACGCTTTTTTTTACAAATAAGGTATAGTACAAAATCAGAATAGAAAAAAATTTAATACATAAATTTAATTAATTTTGACGTCCTAAATATTTAAGAAACAATTAAAGTCCTAAATATTAAAAAAATAATTAAATAATTATTCTGATCAGTGCAAATTTTTTGACACTTTTAAAGTAAAATTGTGTAAATTTTGATAATAAAAACAGTAGAATAGTAAAGCTTCTTTTATAGAAGCATTACATATATAACTGAAACAGGAAAAAAATTATGTAAGGTAAAATTATATATAGTTAAAATAAATAAAGATTTTTTAAAAAAAAAAGACTCCTAAAACAAAAAGAAGTTCAAAGTGCTTATTTTTTACCAAATAACTTACAAAAAATTAATCTAAAATGAGTACAAAGTGATCGAAATTTTCCTAGTATAAAACGAAAGTGCTTGAAATTTAATTGAGTCAAAATTTTATTTAAAAGGCCTCCTAAAACTAAAAGGAGTTACAAAGTGGTTACTTTCCTAGGATAAATTGTGTTTAAAATTTAATACTGCTAAATTTAAGTGGAGATAGAAAGTGAAAAATCATCATAAGTCTAAAATTAAATGGAATTTGAAAGTGACGATAATTTTATTAAAAGATCATCTTAAACATATAAGTGGTATAAAGTTTTAGAAATTTTCCCAGTGGTAATTGAAAGTTCATAAAATTTAATACTACTAAATCTACATGGATTTGTAAAGGCACGACTTATAGATATAAAAGGAATAGAAAAATTAAAGTCTTAAATAGTAGGAGAATAAT